CGGGGAAAAGTAGGGTATCATAAAAGAAATAAATAGATGGGAGAAATTTAACCATACCATTCTCTACAGTGAATGAACCTTTCAGATCAGCCATGACCAAACTTGGCCCTCCAGCTGTTTTGGGACTACAATTCCCATCATCCCTGACCACTGGTCCTGTTAGCTAGGGATGATGGGAGTTGTAGTCCCAAAACAGCTGGAGGGCCAAGTTTGGCCATGCCTGTATTAGATACAGTGGGTGCAGAATGCTATGGCGAGGCTCCTTATGGGGTCCTTGCCACGGGATCACATTTATCCAGTGCTTTACCAGCTGCACTGGCTCCCGGTGGAGTACAGGGTCAGGTTCAAGGTGCTGGTTTTGACCTTTAAAGCCCTATGTGGCCTAGGGCCATCGTACCTATGAGACCGCCTCTCTTGGTATGCCCCACGGAGGACCTTAAGGTCCACAAATGACAACATTTTGGAGGTCCCAGGTCGCAAGGTGGTTAGATTGGTCTCAACTAGGGCCAGGGCCATTTCAGTACTGGGCCCGACTTGGTGGAACGCTCTGTCACAAGAGACCAGGGCCCTGCAGGACTTGACATCTTTCCGCAGGGCCTGCAAGACAGAGCTGTTCCGCCTGGCCTTTGGTTTGGATTCAGTCTGACCCTTATGTTTCCCTCCCCTTATGGTTTTGATCTATGGGCTACTTTTAAAATGAGGCTGCATTTTAAACTGCATTTTAACCTGTATTTTAAATTGCCCCCCCCATTATGTTTTTACTGTAATTTTACTGGTGTTAGCCACCCTGAGCCTCGCTCTGGGTGGGGTATAAATAAGATATCATCATCATCATCAAAGTGCATGAGGCAATGTAGAGGCTGTGTTAGGACACAATGTTAAAGTATAGTTTAGTGCTATGGGAAGGAATCTGGGTGAGCCATAAGGTCATATGCTTCCTGATCCTCCGCCAATAAAATGGGAGTGGAAGCTTTCAACTAACTGTGGCTTGTTGAAGAACATTTTAGCGAAACAAGAGGATTGTTAACCACGGCTTGATGTTCACTATGGTTTAGAGAAGCAAGCAACTACTAAGCAGAGTTTGTAGTTTTAAGATGTACTTGCAGTTATTTGAAAGCACACAAACACTATAGTTTAGTTATGTGTGAATCAGGTTACAAGATCAGGTCTGTTCCCGTTCAGAGATTTTTTGTAAGCATACTCGTGTGCAATAAAACAAGACATGGGACCTTATGAATGAAATAGCCATTTGGTCCTTCCCACCTTTAGTAGTGTTGCTATATACAGTATCAGCCTCACTGGTGAGTGTCCTGTTGCTTAAAGAATCATTAAGTAGAAAGCTTAATTAAGCTGCAGTGATGCCTCCCCTGCTGATCGTAAGGCCCAGTGTAATGAGCAAGGATGGGAAACCCCAGACCCTTAGGGTTTTATATGCTTTTTTGTACAACAGCCACCCTGATGGTTCTGGAAGCTCCAACACATGAAGGCAAAAGTATGTTTGCTTCCCTCTAGCAGCTGATCTGAATGTTGGCATACCTTACACATTTTCAGAACGAAACAGTAGTACAGTGTTTCCCAACCTTTTTTGGGCAAAGGCACACTTGTTTCATAAAAAAAATCTCGAGGCACACCACCATTACAGCCCCGTGACGTCAGCGCGCAGTGTCACACCAGGAGGGACATGAATTGCTAGCAAATTACATAATCACCTCCTTGAGGGCTGGCTCATCTTCTCCGAAGGCAGAACCCCATTAATTAACAGCACAGACTCACACCATAGCCAAGACGAGGGGGGAAAACCTCAGTCATGCACAGTCATGCACATGTGGGGGCTAAATGAGGACGAAGACCGGGCAGAGAGCAGGGTTCAAATCACCCCACCTGGCCAGGACAATCCCTGGGTGCTCCCTTGGGCCACTCGCCTGACCCACCTCGCAGGGCTGTTGTTGCGAGGATAACACGGGGAGAACCACGCGCGCCCCCGGGAGCTCCTTGGAGGAGAAAGCGGGCGATGAATGCAATGCACGAAATATATGAGAGGCGACCAGGTTTTGCAGGTGAGGGGCCCCCACCAGCCTCCGCTTCCAACACCCGGCGCAACAACGCCGAAGTTTCCCCCCGGGCAGCGCTGCTCCCCCCCGGCTCCCCTTCACCCTCCCGGCTCTCTCTGCCGCCCACTGGGGACCCCCCTCACCTGCCAAGTCCGGAGCGCCGGTGGAAGTTGCATGCATGCATGCAGGGCGCCGCGTTGCCATTGCATTGCACTGCACTCCATGCAACGCCTGCATGCATGCATTGCCTTGCACGCCCGCCAAGGGGTCTCCCCGCGGTCCGATGCGTCCCCTCCAGCGCGGATGCAGCATTGCAAAAATAACCCCCCCCCCGACGCAGCCCTACCTGGGGGGCAGCCTCCGCCTCCGCCGCTCCACCTCCGCGGGGATCCCCGGGCTCCATCCTGCCGCCCGATCTCCGCGGGGGCGCAGGCAGGCTGCGAGGGGTCTGCGCGGAAGAGCCCCTGCCCGCCCGGCCGCCGCTGCTGCGCTCATTCCATGGCCGGGAGAAGAGCGCTTCAAACAAAACGCCCGGCCCGCCAGGCCACGCTGGGAAATGTAGTTCGCGCACCCCGCGCGGGCGCGGAGCCCAAGGGCGAGGGGACTACGGATCCCGGCAGCCCCCGCGCCGGGGACGGAGGGGGAGAGGCCGGGTGCAGGGATGGAGGGACGGGTGGGCGAGCGAGTGAGTGAGTGGCAGCCGCCAAGCCTTGGCCGAGAGCCAGGAAGGGCCTCCCCGGAGGAGGAGGAGGGAGGCGCAGAGCGGGAGGGAGGGAGGGAACCCCAGGGGTCATCTAGTGACGGCGCCCCAATCGAAAATTTGACTTTTTTTTAAAAAAAAACAAAATCTTTCGAATTTTTTAATTTTTCCCGCGGCACACCAGGCAACATCTCGCGGCACACTAGTGTGCCGCGGAACAGTGGTTGGGAAACACTGCAGTAGTAGTACTAAGTATGCTATTCAAAATGGAGTACCTAATTTCTACATTTCCTAGAAGAAATCATGCATTTCCATTTTGAACTAAAATTTAAGCTTTTCTGGACAGGAAATGCTAAAACGTCCAGGTATCTCATAGTTTGCATCCCTTATGTTTTTTGTACACATAATGAGTAATAGCTTCAAATATCATCTCTTGATTAGTTTATGCAATGTTCATTACTTGATTTAATTTTTTCTCCAGCTCTCTTTATAGTTTCCCAGGCTCTAGAGCTTTTAATTCACTGCTACATAAATTTGCCTTATTCTACATGCAAGGATTCCTATTTCCCTCAGTCTCTATAGTCAGAAGTAATTTCTTCCATCTCTACTGCAATAGATTTTTCACCCTCATGCTACAGAAATAGATGAATCAACTGAAATCAGCCAAGCTTCTTGAGGTTATTTGGTGTCATAAATCAAGACAATTTGGTCTGTCATTTTAAGCTCTCTCTTATCTTGGCAACACTGCAAATGACTAGCTAAACTCCTTAGTCTGGAGCCTGTTGAAGTCCACAGAAAAAGAACTTCCATGCAAGTAGCGTTACTCACATTTTGCAGATCCTGTAAAAAATTTAAGAGTTTGTATTATCATCTTGCAAACTGCTTGCACTTTGAATTCTTATATGGCCATAATCCAGCACAGAGGTAATTAATTTAAGTAAGAGGCATCCAACTCTATTGTTTAATACATAGCCTTCAGTTCAGATGAATAACTGGCAGTGAGTTTTTTCACGTAAAGCAGTTTTGTTATATAAAACATTTGAATTTATTTACTTCCTTTCTCATGAGTGTAAAACTATTTCTTTTCCATTTTAATTGTTTAAAGCATTTAAACAATTTAGGGAAGTTTTTAATGTTTTGATGTTTTCCCGTGTTTTTAATGCTCAGTTGGAAGCAGCCAGAATGGCTGGGGCAACCCAGTTAGATGAGCAGAATACAAATATCATCATCGTCAGGAAAAGGTTTGGGGTTTTTTTTAAAAATCTGAATGTGATGCCTTCGAACTGTCTATATAGCTTTATGGTTGGAGAAATATGCCTCATTCTCTGTGATAGCATCAGTAACCAAAAAATAGCTGGTGCTCTCGAGATTGAGTTTTAGTCTCTTAACTCCCTAAACATTTAAGATGGGTACTGCTCAACATCTTAGCAACTACTCTGTGAAACTGTTGTACTTTTTCATTGTTTTATATGTCTTTTAACTTCTTTCTCTTCTGAAATTTTTTTGGGGGGCTATTATGTTGGAATGATCTTACCCTCAAACTCTAAAAATTATGCTGAGGTTCGATAGCACACATTATTGCAAGAACACCCACACCATATTCTCCCACACAGTAAAAGGCTGACAATTCTGAGTCAGTGTTTGTTGCCAGCCACTTGTCAAAGTTGGCATTTGTAGATCTTATGTACTTAGATACAGGTTATCTAGTTTATTTTACCATATTTCAGCGCTTCTCATAGTAGAAAACAAGGGTTAACCCTGTAGTTTGTGTTCCTGTTTGGGATTTTCACCTAGGGGGAAAAGGTAGAGTAAAAGCTCACAAACCCAAGGAGGAATGAAAAGCAGAGAGAGTTGGAACCAGCAGAAGGCACTCACAATGTACATGCTACTACTAGCTGAAGCTGAACCCATCTTGTGTGAGGCACTGCACACACATTAGCACTTGCTTTCAACAGGTATGCTTAAGGCACACACAAAAAGAGAAAATATTAACAGAAATTAGAGGGCACCCTTATCACATGGAACAGTTGCCCTGTGTGTTGTACATCTTTCTGTCTGAAGCTGTTTCGCCTATCTTTTTGACAGGCTTTCCTTTTTATGCACAGGTATGGAACACCACAAATTACCAAGAATGCTCTGGTGAGAAAGCAGCTTTCGTCTTCTGGCACTCCTGGTGGATGTCACTTCGAAGGGTGTCAATAATCACTATACCTTTCTTCAGTGGTACGTTTGACTTTAATGAAACAGTATTTCAAATACTTGTTTTATTTCCTTTTATCCCAGAGTCAAGATTAGACAGGTAAATTTTGAGTATTTAACCAGTTTACTACAATGCCAATATTCCAATGTGGGGTTTCTTAACCGCTACAAATATAGGTCATTCCTCACAACCTACCTCACAGTTCCATATATAAATATCTGGGTGATTTTAAATAACATTTAACAATTATATTTTTTTTTAGTTAAAAAAAAGCAATAATTACTTGGCACTGTGTTACTGTGTGTTCAAATTTAATACAATTCTGTTTTTCTCTAATTTTGTACCAGTAAATAAAGTTCAGGTTTTTTTAAACATACTACTTTCAATAGATTATATCCAGGAATCCAGTCCCAGATGACATTCTAATGTTACCCATTAAAAAAAAAAGTCTTTAAGCCCCAATGGTAATGAAAGATGGTATCACAGTACCAAAAAAAAAAAGAAAAGAAAGAAAATTGCAAGAAGCTCTGTATGCATTCCATAGGAGAAAACAACTACCTAGTGCCAAATCATTAAGCTAGAAATATACATTTGAGAGAGAGAAGTGCAGGCAGTTAAGATAATTAATTTGCAACAACAGACAGGCAAATTTCTATTTTCGTTTCCTCATAACTCTGCCATCTGATTAAGGATACATAATCAATTTTCACGTGAAACAATTTCAGACCCCAAAATATTCCAGGGGAAGGTTTTAAAAAAAGTTTGCCATTCGATCCAATTTAAGAGATCATAAGCAAGATATAAAGACACTGATTTCAGAGTTCTTACAATATAAAGACACTGAACAGCATGGGATAAAGGCAAAAGGATGCAAAGATAAATCACTACAACCACATGATAGTAAAGAGCTGTTTGTCCAAAGGTTCTCTCGTGCTAAAAAAAGTTTCCATCCATGATGAGCTACAGACAAATGCCAACAGCATTATAGCAATAACCCAAGAAAAAGCTACTGGAATTACCCAACTGCCTACTGGGAAGGAACGATGCGACAGACAGGCTATTCGTGCCCTTGTTTTGTTTGCTGAGAAGTGGTCCAATTAAGTAGTCAAATATAGCCACATTTAAAATATCTAACAAAAGGAACCAGAACAAAACCTAGCCCTTGGGTCAAAGGGCAGAGACAGGCCTTTCCGTGTCACATAGCTGAATGAGTTCAAAGATTGGCAATAAAGGAATGCGAGCATTGGAGCTGCGATGGGAGCAAGCTCCAGAGTTTATCTAACCGTCACACCAAGTTTCTCAAGCACACGTACTCCCTTCTCCTGGTATTCTTGTCTGGTCATCCAGAAGTTATCTTTGTCTTTCATGATGTCTGCTAGAACTGCACCACCAAGGAATACCATGTGCTTTCGACGAGGTGGATCTTCAATACGAATCTTAAATTTCTTAACAGGAAAAGATGATAAAGCAACATTACTAGAGGTTATGGAGCAAAGCTGTAAAACCTGTTAAGAATGGCAGAACTGGCATTCAAACAGCTCTTTCTGTCTGGATGGTCAATGACTACAGTACTGGAATATTAGTAGACACCATATATAAAAGAGCTATAGCTTGGGAGATTATGGGAAACATTGCAAATTAGAAACTGAACTGTAGTTCCAATTTTGTCTTTTTCTAATGGATTTATCTGAACTTGTAGCCTATTACATTAAAAAAAACACACCCTGATATATACATATATTACAAAAAAGCAGGTTTAGGAGAATCTGTAAACTATCTTTATGTGGATGCATTTGGCAACAGAGGGGAGCATTCTACATTTTGCCTTATTTGCCTGAAGCGTTATAGCACAGATTAGACCTCCAATCTATTCCCCCAGCTTTGGGTTTGGCTCCCTGTAGAGCTGGACTCAAGAGCACCAGCAAAACATAGCATGCCTTGTATTCTCTGCTCAGAAACTTTTTCCTTATGTTCTGATCCAGAACAATCGCAAAAGTAGTTGTGGACAGAGATACTAAGAGACTAGTTTATAATCAATGACCTTATCCAATATGCAAGCGGAGTATAATGCAGATGTCTAATTATATACGTATTAAGCCACAAAATTAACCGAAGTATTATGTAAATATTAGAATATAAAAAATGTTAATATATAGGCTTTTTTAAGTTCTATAATTGGTAAGCCACTGTATTTTGGAAGCTCTGTATATGACATACTGTAGAGTTGCAACACAGTTTGCACAAATTTAAACCAGTTCATCAGTTTTAGTCAATTAACCTGCATATACACAATGTCTGTGAAGCAAGAATATTTTTGATACATTTAGATGAACACAATTTAGGAGGCATTCCTCCTATGTCACCTACATTTTGTATAAACACTTGTATTAAAAATTGTGCTGTAAAAATATGCCCAACCAATGTCGGTACTCTTAGGTGATTAATCCATTAACATTTAAATCTAATCTGTTACAAAGTTATCCCATAAAGCAGCTCCTATGTCACCTACATTTTGTATAAACACTTGTATTAAAAATTGTGCTGTAAAAATATGCCCAACCAATGTCGGTACTCTTAGGTGATTAATCCATTAACATTTAAATCTAATCTGTTACAAAGTTATCCCATAAAGCAGGTACCTTTATAATATAGAAAATTAACTGATGCTAGTAAGAAAGAAATCAAGGTTGATCCCACAAACGTGAGGTCAGCTCACATGTAATTTTGAGAACACAGTGGTGTTTGGTATTTCTGGAAACCTGAACAAAAGCCCAGCAATTTCCAGAGGGTCAAATATTTCACATCACAGAGTGATCTAATTTAGCAGGTTTATTTTACTTATTTTCAGTAAACCAAGCTAGAAACTTTGAAACTGCCAAGATTGCAAAATAAAATTGAATCAGTAGCCATTCATTGGTACTAACAAACACATGAAACGGAAGTTTTCCTGCAGAAAGATTAAGCACTGGAACATTTTCTAATCTACGCCACTGATGTGGATAGGTCAAAGCAGAGGTGGCTAATCTTTTTTTGCTCAAGGGCCACATTAAAGGTATGCCAGCTTCCAAGGGCCACATTCCAGTATGTGTGCATACTCATATAAACACATACATGCTCTCAGCTGGTGCCATTGTCAGATGTTCTTAAAGAGGAACAAGGAAGCAGTGCTTCTTCCCATTTGCTAAGCCTCTCTGAGAACTTCTAACAAGAACACTGCACCCAAGGGAGAAGGTGCCCCTCTGCAATGGTAAAAAGAGGCACCTTAGGGGACCAGTGGAGAGGCTGAAACCTGTCCAGTATGACCAGCACAATACTGGGTCCATGCCGCCTGCTGGGGGATTTTTAAATTTTCTCTTGTTTTAAGATCATTGCTGGGAAGCTTCAGGAGCTGCCAGAAATTCCTTCAGGGGACTGTATACAACATGCACCCTGGCCATCCTGGGTTAAATAATTGTTTTATGAAGGATGAAGACCACCTAAGGGCTTCAGGAAACTAAACTTCTACTGTATGTTATGAAATGCACAACAACACAAAGCAAAACCAGTTTCTCCTCATTGTTCCAATTTAGCAGTTCCTCTACTGCAGGCATGGCCAAAGTCCGTTTGGGGGGCCTAATCCGGCCCGCTGGTCAGTTTAATCCGGCCCCTGTGGCAGTTTATTTCCTGGGGTAAAATCCTTTAAAAAACCTCAACAACTTCAACCCTAAAATAAGCTCAACAACTTCAATCCTAAAAAAGGTTAACAACTTGGGTCGGCCCTCACGGCCCTTCACTTCATCAAATCTGGCCCTCTTTGGAAAAAGTTTGGACACATTGCTCTACTGAGATGGCATTCCAGAGAGAACTCTAGAAAGTTCTTCACAGTGTACTTAAGTACAATCCAAGACGCTGAACAGCTTAAAGCAATTTCACAAACAACTGTAATCTCAACGTGAAGTTGTTTATTCAAAGTTTACAAACTCAATCATGACGGTCCCACGATATTTCTGACCACCTTGCTCCCTCTAGTGACGGTCCTGTATATAACTTAGGATTTATTTGAAGGCTACTTACTGAAAGTTTCTCCACATCACCTTTCAGGACCCGTTCCAGGTAAAGCTGTTTAAGTTCACGTTCCAGTCGTGAAGGCAACCCTGGGTACATCGTGGAACCTCCAGATAACACAATGTGTTTATAGAACTCAGACCTAAAGATGAAACACACTTCTGTAAACAATGAGCGTGACTGCGGCAACACCAGTGTGAAAGACATATTTTCACTTCCAAAAAGGGGAACAGAAACCAACATTAAAGATGCAGTAATAGACCCTTAAACATTCCCATTCAGGATTGTCTTTCTGCAGCAAGACAGGAGTAGTAAATGCTGTACAGATGATTGGTAGCCATTTTTGCCTAGTCTTTGAATCTTAATTGTATTTTCATATACTCATCTCTTTAAACACAACATCCATGCAACATCGGGAAATTGCCCATCCCATCTTCTACCTTCGCACAGATTTGAGTGTGCTAGTTTTTCCTGGTCCTACCTGGTGTCAATATCAGCAGCTTGGATGGTATTGAACAGCAGTTCAGCGACACCAACTCCCTCCACATTGATCAAGTGAGGCTGGAACAGAGCTTCTGGCGCCTCAAACCGTTCGCCACCAACCTTAATAATTCTGCCGTCTGGAAGCTATGGAACAGAACGTCTGATGTTACTGATAAAATTACTGTTAAATTACAACTAATAAAAGTGTTTTTTTTAAAAAAAAAATACTAACAGTGTTCAGATAAATCACTGGAATCCCCTCTAGCAGTCCCAAGTTGGTCCAAATGTGTGATGGGAGGAAAGTTACCAAATCTCATTTTGATGCACTTGTAGTTTGGGCTCTCTCTCCACTTGAATTCTAATTCTAATTCTTATTAATAATGTATACACCACCCTTCTCTGAAGATCTCAGGGAGGTTTACAAGAGAAAAAGACGATAGAAAAGCACAATATAAAAGCACTAATAAATAGTTAGAACAAAACCAAAACAATTAGTCCCCCTCCCACAAACACATGTAAAAGGTGGTTTTATTCCAGGAGTCTGACTGCGCTTTAAAGCCTCGCTTACAGCCACCATAGCGGTTGTTGTGTGGCTTTTTCTCTGACTTCCGACCAGAAAGCACAGCTGATGCAAAACAGGCTGTTATCATGACCCAATATTGCATCTCCTGGCAAAATAACACTCCAATCTTCTCTTTCTTCCAGCTCTTAATTTTAAATGATATCATTTTAAAATTACATCATGCCTGTCGACAAAGCCTCCAAGGTGTCTGACAACAGTTTAAAAAACAACAAAACACAACCCCAATAAGGTAGCTGTGACAAACCAAGGAAAAAGCAGATGCAGATGACCATTAACTGGAAGCATTTGCTTCCTGCTCTTTCCAAGAAAGTGGTTAAATTGTAAGTCTAAGGTAGTTAGGAGCATCACCCCTTCACCCCTTTGTCCCTTGCCTTTAACCCCCCCAAACAGAAGTTCCCCCTCAAAAAGCTTTCTTTAAAACTCCTATAAAAACAGGGCTTTTCTATTCCCCAAAAAAGCTCAACAACTTTGAGCTGAACCCCTCAAAAACAGGGATAGATCACTGCCAGTTTTTAATTCTGAAAGCATATCACAGTCACTTGAGAGTTGGCTACCCCGGCTTTAGAAGAGGCTTCACTCAAATCAGCAATTGAAGTAGTGCCTAAGTGTGGTAGCTTAAGCCTGTGACATACCGTGTAGGACTCAACCAGCACAGTAGTTTCCAAGGCCAGTTTCTGCTCCTGTTCAATGTTGTAGCCCACATAGCACAGCTTTTCTTTAATCATACGAACAGTCTCAAAATCAGCGGAATGGTTGAAGGCATATCCTCGTAGTAAAAGCAGCTGGCATGAAAGTAAGTTAATTAGTGGCAAATCTGAAAACTGCTCTCCCTTCTACATAGTGTAAGCCCACAACTTGCATGGGGGTTATGTTCCAAGAATTGTGCCTAAAGCCAAAATTGCATCTAATCAAAACCCATTGGGTTCAATGATGGTTGGGACTGCCAAAGTCATTTTCCCAGGAACCCCGCCCCACCCCTAAAAAAAAAAGCCACACATGTAAAGCTGAATGCACACAAGTTAAATGCGTGTAAGTTGCAGGCTTACTGTATAGCTTTTTAAAATAAGCAGGCTTCTGAAAGACAAGCTGATAAAAGCATGACTTTTAAGAAAATAATCAAATTACATAGGTTAAGGGAACTGAGTTTTCAAGTCCAGCAATTTAGCCTGCTATGGAAATGTAAAAAGGTAAAAGGGTACTGGGAAATGATTTATAATGAATTGAAAAACATGTTTAAGTATAACTTTCCCAAAAACAACAGTCCTTTTTGTTGGGGAAAACCCAGACTGAAATTTCCAGGTGTCAAAAATGTATGATCTATTATTGAAATGGGAGATGAAGAATAAAATAGTCAAATCGGTAACGTTCCAAGGATCTAGGACGTGATATAGAAATAAATGTATGGGGAAAGTTATGGAAAACAAATTTGAAATTTACTGCTTGTTATAAAAGAAAATGATATGAAAATGATGTATGGATGGTATAGAACACCTAGTAAATTGGCTAAAATGTATAAGAAGGTTCCTAAGAACTGTTGGAAATGTAAACAGGCAGGAGAATCCTTTTTCCCATATGGTGGAATTGTAGGAAAGTAAGGATGTTTGAGTGCCGCAACCCCAGAGTCGGCCACAGCTGGACCTAATGGTCAGGGGTCCCTTTACCTTTAAGGACGTTTTAGAGCAGTGTTTCCCAACCTTTTTTTGGCAAAGGCACACTTGTTTGATGAAAAAAATCTCGAGGCACACCACCATTACAGCCCCGTGACGTCAGCGCGCAGCGTCACGCCGGGAGGGACGCACGAAAGTGTAACTTTCAATTTTTTTCCCTCCCCCTTGCCGGGGAACCTCCAAGTGGGGTGTGAAGCGAGCGTACCTCAAGACCGAAACGCCTAATTCCTAGGGGGAAAGCATAACTGGGCGTTAACCGATCGCAAACCCTGTCCTAGCCTATTAACATAGGAAATTAACATATACAACGCGGCAAGACACCGGTTTTGGAATCCGTTCCTTCCCCCTCTCGTCTGCCGAGTTGGTCCCTGCCCCTCTCGCGAGACTCGCCGCCGGGTCCGCTCTCGCGCACATAGCCCGGCGAGAGGGCGCCTCCCCTGCGCCCCCTCCCTCCCCCCTTTTCGGCCCAGCGCGCCGCCTTGCCTGTTCGTGCGCCGCGCGTGTGAGGCGAGCGGGAAGGCCGCGTAGCCCCCCATGCAGGAGACCCAGGAGAGCCCGGCGGCCGCCGAGACCCCCGCCGCTCTGCCCGCCCAGGACGAGGGGCCCGGAGGAGGAGGAGGAGAGCCCGGCGGCGGTAGCGGAGGAGAAAGAGGCGGCGGCGGCAGCAGCAGCGGCGACTCGGAGGCCGAGCTGCCGGATGGGCCTTCCGCGGAGGAGCCTGAGGGGAAGAAGGAGCTGGAGCCCGAAAAAGGCGGCGGCGAGGAGAAGGAGGAGGCGGAGGAGGAGAAGCCGCGAAGCAGCAGCGGCGAGGAAGAGGAGGCCGCTGGTGAGCGTCGGGAGCAGCCGCAACCGTCTTCGCCTCCGGCTGCTGGGCCGCCTTCGCCGCCTCAGGAGCCGCCCGAGGTTGCCGCTGTAGCCGCCGCCGCAGAGGAGCCGCCGGAGCGGCACACCAGGCAACATCTCGCGGCACACTACTGTGCCGCGGAACACCGGTTGGGAAACACTGTTTTAGAGGATGATATATGATGAGATAAAAAATATGTTTAAAGTGATTATACAATAAAAAACACCCTAAAGCTTTACTTTTAGGGATTATAGGGACAGAAGTTCAAAAAAAAGTATGATTAAATTGTTTATGTATGTTACGACAAAAGCAGGGATTTTATATGCTCAAAAATGGAAGGAATACGAAATTCCCACAAAAGAAATATGGATGGGTAAGGTGATGGACTATGCAGAAATGGCAAAGTTAACAGCTAAAATTAATTGATGACCCTTTTGTGGAATAATGGAAGCCTTTTTGGGATTATTTAAATAAATATTATAGTTTAATGAATTCACAAGTAGGATTTTAAGTATGAGTAACAAAGAATTAGGACTTACGGTAATACTGTTATGACATAAGAGATAGACACGGTGCAACAAAGGGCAGAAAACAAAATCACCATGGAAAATGGGATGGGAAGTTGACAAACAAAAAAGAAAATTGTGTATTGGAGTGTATATGTGGAAAGTTTTCTTTTTTCTTGAAAATAATAATAATAATAATAATAATAATAATAATAATAATAGCATGCATTCTGCTCAGATTCAACACCACTAGCTTACCTTGATGAGGTATCTGGTAATATCTCTACCAGCAATATCTAGTCTTCTGGTGAGATGAGGAAGAGAGAAGCCTTCATAGACTGGACAAATGTGAGTAACACCATCTCCAGAATCCACAACAACACCAGTCAGTAAACCTGAACAAGAATAATGGCAAAAGCACATGAGAACATGTCAATATGGATCCTGGTTTTAAGTCTAGGAAACAAAACTAGCCTTGGTCTGTATGCTGGGAGAAGGTCAGAAGAAAACATGAGCCTACAGATTCTCCTAAATCTCTCTGTGGCGTGTGACACAGACAATTAAAGTATAATCCTGGAAGAGTTATCTAGATTGGGGACTGGGACTGCCACTTCTTGAATGGCTTGTTCCAGAAGCCTGTGAAACTAACATCATGGTACAGTGTCCACATTGAGCAAAAAAGTAAGCTAAATTCACCATATGTAGATATCAAGAATGGCTAGTGTCATTCTGCCTCAAGATGGAAAGCATGCTACTATAACATCTTGGGCTTTCACACTACAGCGTAGAAATAATTATTATTCAAACTATTAAAGAAGACATTTGGGCACATTCCTAGTGTCGTTTTTTACACAGTCTTCCTTTCTTTTATAGGCCTGATGCAGATTGCTTTTGCTTATTTCCTTCAAGGAAACAAAGGCATCATAGTGGAAAATACCAGCCAGCATTTCAAATGTGTAACCTAACATACTGAGCCACGAAAAATATATACTGTCATTCTCCATGTATGAAGGATGGTGCGGCATACATGGAGAATGGCAATATATATTTTAGTAGCTGAGCATGTTGCTGATAATAGTCATTTTTTCATATTCTTTACAATGCAAGCTCATTATAATAATAATCTGGTTTGAACAACTTTCATCAAGCATGCATCATGGTTCCATTTGTATTTGGATACAAGTTTTATTCTCTTCAGGCTCCAAAAGTCAAGCTGTCTTCCTCTAATCTCAGTAAATGAAGCAGCCAGTTGAATAGGCTTTCAAGCCTTTTCAATCAATACATGAAGTAGCTTGCTTCCATAAAAAATTATTAGTTTGACCCAAGAGTAAAGCAACATGCAGTTCAGACTAATACATGTCATAGTGTTCTCTCTGCCCTAATTATGAGCTAGCAGTAGTCTTTCAATTAGCAATAGAAAAGAGTGCACTTTAGAGAACAGAAGTACTACTAGCTATGCTTTTTAGCTACTCATTAAAGTAGGGATGGGTGGCCCAAGCCACAGTGGGCAGAGCTGCCTCATAGTCACTCGTCAACAAATAATACAGTGGTACCTCGGGTTAAGTACTTAATTCGTTCCGGAGGTCTGTTCTTAGCCTGAAACTGTTCTTAACCTGAAGCACCACTTTAGCTAATGGGGCCTCCCACTGCCGCCGCGTCACCGCCAAGCGATTTCTGTTCTCATCCTGAAGCAAAGTTCTTAACCTGAAGCACTATTTCTGGGTTAGCGGAGTCTGTAACCTGAAGCGTATGTAACCTGAAGCATATGTAACCCGAGGTACCACTGTACAAGCAACACGAAGACCAGTATATTAGATAGCACTGCAATTCCTATTGCACGATGTACATGATTTAGTACAACAAAAACAAAATGTAAATGTGTACACTTGTAAATTCTCTAATATATTTGAAATCAAATGAGCATACGTCTGTCAATCTTTGAAAGTCCGTGGAAGTATAAGAAGTCTATAGTTGAAACAAAGTAATAGATGCTATCCTGTGGGCTAATCGGTAAAACTGTTTTAGGCGTTAATTGTGCCGAAGTAGTAAGTGAATAACAACGTAGGACAGTGATCCCGGTTAATCTGACTGTTTCGCTGGAATCTTCTTCAGCACAACCCATAGATTAGGAAAATGCACATGGAGCAGTGGTCATGAGGATATGTAACATAGTCACTCATGGCACACCATGAAGATCTCCTTGCACAGCAATTAAGCTTGAACAAGGCCTCCAAACAACATTGTTTGAGAAAGATACCATTAGCTAGGGCTGGGATGGCTAATTTTGCTAACACATAAATAAATCTTAAGTACAAAGTAGCATTTACAGTAGCAGTCGGCCAAGGTGGGGGGGGGCAGTTCTCACCCAACCTGTCACCTGTATCTTTGTTGCTTTCTAGTAGGTAGAGAAAGGGGGGTGAAGCAGCAGTTAGGTTCAAATGCACCAGAGGAGACAATCCAGTACTCCCAATTATGCATTTGTACCAATGTCTTGCCCCTCCTTCCAGTAAACACCAAAAAGAAAATGACTGGAGTTTGAGTGGTGCAGCCTCACCCAACTGACTGCTATTGAGTATTTACACTTACCTTGTGCATACAGAGTGAGAACGGCTTGAATGGCTACGTAGACACCAGAAAATTGGTAGGTTTCAAACATTACCTGAAAAATGAAAGTTATCTCTTATTTGAAGAAAGCACAGTAAATTTCATAGGTTAAGTCAGTGTTTGACAAAGCACTATTTGGCAACTTCATTATCTGTATTTGCAAAAAAAGTGTGGTTTACAGGTCATAAAAAGATCACTGCAAGTCTCTCCACCCCTCAAACATAGAAGCAGTCCATACTTTTAAAAATTCAACGTAGAAAAAAATTGATTTTATCTTCTGAACATTTAGAGCAGGGGTCAGCAACCTTTTTCAGCCGTGGGCAAATCCACCGTCCCTCAGACCATGCGGTGGGCTAGACTGTATTTTTTGGGGGGAAGAACGAATTCCCATGCCCCACAAATAACCCAGAGATGCATTTTAAATAAAAGCACACATTCTACTCATGTAAAAACACCAGGCAGGCCTCACAAATAACCCAGAAATGCATTTGAAATAAAAGGACACATTCTACTCATGTAAAAACACGCTGATTCCTGGACCATCATAGCTCATAGTTGTTTGGAAGTTCAAAAAGAAGTTGTCATAAACTTAACATATCTCAATTCAGTTAATATGCAGCACAGAAGAAATGAATTGCTTTTTGATGTTGAAAAATTGTCAATATTTAACAGACTGCTAAAACTATTTTTACAGACTACTAAATTTCTAATAGTTAAATTAGAAGTGTTTTCAGAACACAAGTAATGAAAGGCCTTCCATCTAACACTATTAAACACTTTACATCTATTCCTCCTGGTGCATTATATGCTGTTCCTATCTTTAATTTTTTTAGTTTTTTAAAGTGAATTTCCTTCCTGTTTTCTCATGGTTACTGAATTAGCTTGAAATGCAAACTTTATTGATATTCCAAGCCAGGATTTGCTCTAGGAAAGTGGCATACAAATAAACTGATGTTCAAGAATCTCCATCTAGGGCATGGGTAGGCAAACTAAGGCCCAGGGCCGAATCTGGCCCAATTGCCTACTAAATCCAGTCCGGGAATCAGCGTGTTTTTACATGAGTAGAATGTGCCCTTTTATTTAAAATGCATCTCTGGGTGATTTGTGGGGCCTGCCTGGTGTTTTTACATGAATAGAATGTGGGCTTTTATTTAAAATGCATCTCCGCTTGTTTTAACAAGGCCTAAAATGTTCTTTAGGACGCGGGTGGCACTGTGGGTTAAACCAGAGCCTAGGACTTGCCGACCAGAAGGTCGGTGGTTCGAATCCCTGCAACGGGTGAGCTCCCGTTGCTCGGTCCCTGCTTCTGCCAAGCTAGCAGTTCGAAAGCACATCAAAGTGCAAGTAGATAAACAGGTACCGCTCTGGTGGGAAGGTAAACGGCATTTTTGTGCGCTGCTCTGGTTCGCCAGAAGCGGCTTAGTCATGCTGGCCACATGACCCGGAAGCTGTACCCCGGGCTCCCTCGGCCAATAAAGCGAGATGAGTGCCACAAGCCCAGAGTCGGTCACGACTGGACCTAATGGTCAGGGGTCCCTTTACCTAAAATGCTCTTTAGCATGCAAGAAATGAAGGACATATTACTTCACTGAAAAACATCCTAAGCATTGAAGGATATCTAACTGCCATTTCAGAAGGTTCTGAACACAGGTAACTGCATGCTCCTGGATAAAATCTGTTTTCCCTGCCCCCAAACAGAATAGAACTCCTCCTGAAGAATACTGCCACCTGGGCTTTCTCAGACAGAAAGTAGGGTTTGTTTCAAGGTACCTACCTCCACAATCTTCTCCCTGTTCTTTGTTGGATTCATAGGAGGCTCTGTTAGAAGTATTTTACAGTTTTTTGTGTCAATGTTAAGTTTTTCTGGTCCAAAGGTGTAGTCCCAAAGGTGTTTCATATCATCCCAGTTCCGGACAATGCCATTCTCCATGGGGTAGTTAACTTCTAACATGGACCTCAGCTCACTTGCTTCATCACCAACCATAAGATCCTACAAGTTACAAATGAAAACTGGAAAATTAACATTTTCCAAAACCATTTTTTGAATTCAACTCTTCAAAAAAAACTATAAAAAGAAGCTGCTTTTATTATTCAGTCTTACAATACAATGGAGAGGGATAATACTTACATGTTCGAATGAAAAATATAGCAAGGTATTTAAAATGAAAGAAACACAGAAGGCACAACTCTACAAACAGCTATGTATATAAAAATCAAATGGAATTTGGGACAAAGGGCCTAGTTTACATGTAGATTTCTAGACCAATACATTCAACTTTTTATTACACATTTATATATGAACAAGTCACGTGATGTGGAATTGCACATAATAGGTGGGCTTAGCAGAATAAAATTTCCATGCATGTTTCATGTTTTTGTGCACATTACTAAATGGGAATAACGAGTGCTGCACAAGCATAGAGAACAAGTAGCAAAAGCAAATAAGGGACTGCAAATTCCACACTGATTGAGGAGAAAAAAATAGAAGTTTTATATTAGTCAGAAGATTTCTGCAATGTGCACCACTTATTCAAAGTCTGTAAACTATCCTCCACAAACATATGAACTTCATTCCTAACTTAATTTTGATTTATAAAGACATTTTTGAAATGATTAAGCAACTCTGATCTATTTTGAAGTTACCAAAAATATTTTGTACTGTAAGTCAGTGATGACAAGTCAGTGCTATGGCATCATTCTTGCAATGAACACAGGCATAGAAAAAGTTTAATCTAGTTTGTGTCCTATCCCATCAATATCCTAACTAACACGATATTAAAAAAGAACAAAATTAAATTTGTTCTCATGCTTCAAAACAGGGAAATTTAAACAGTAAAGTCCCTTATTTTTCAAATAAAGTAACAATCACCAGCAACTATGGAATATTGGAGCCTAAATATATCTGTCATATTGGGAACTTCCATGCAAGTAGAAGAGGCATCTTTAAAGCCAAACTGAAATCCTCCTCTAGGCAGGATTTTAACATTGTGCTTTTTAGGATTTTTTTAATTGTAATTCTGCAGCTCTACTATAGCTCTTAGCTTCATACTAGTTGTGGTTAAAATAGTCTGCTGAAGATAATTCATTTAACAAATTTAGAAGCAAAACTGCCTGATAGGTAAAGAGTATATTCAATGTATCATTTTACCCCACTGCTGCCTTGGTCCTATTAACGCTACTTTTAAAATACTATTTTTTCAATCTACATCAGGGGTAGTCAACCATTTTATACCTACTGCCCACTAATGCATCTTTCTTGATGGTAAAATTTCCTTACCGCCCCCCAGTGCTCAATGGAAGGAGGATTCAGCTTGTGCCATAAAAGCCCCTACCGCCCACCTAGAATCCTGAAGCGCCCACTAGTGGGCGGTAGGGACCAGGGTTGACAACCCTTGATCTACATCAAACAAGAGGAGCAACGAATCACACAGCTTTTAGCACATGCTTCAGACATGATCTTGAAGAATCATGTTGAGAATCCTGTATTCAATTTAGAAGAACAAATATTAAATATATGGCAACATGATGACACAGAACATATTAAGGGTAGATTCACACATACAAGCCAGTTAATTTTTCCCTCAAGTATCCCTAGATTGCAGGACTGCCTGGGGAATCGCAGGAAGGTTCGCTTCATAGACATGATTTCTGCATCTGCACTTTTGGGAACCGCTGTATTAACGAGATTGTAGAAATAGCTCTATGTGCGAACAGTTCACCACCATTTCACACACTGCATTTCCCCATGGGGATTGAAAGAGGAATCATCAGGAAAAAAAGAAATGGCGAGTTTGCATGTGTGAACTGACATTATTGGTTTTAATACTCTCCATATAATGTGTCTTGCCTACATAGCAGACAAGATGCAAGTAGTTTTTGATGGCTCATTTTTGTTATGTCTCAGCAAGTGGTTTCTAGCACTGATACTGACCTTCAGATTCCTTGCCTCTACAGGCAGCTGCAATTATTGGGGCATGTCACATCTGCAAGATGTGTACAATAGCTTTAAGGAAGTACTAGCTACTAAATGAAAGCAATGAAGAAAGATTAAAATGGTTATGTATTCAGAACATAAGTGGACAGGACATGGAAATTATAAAGCACCCCAAAAAAAGAGGCTACAAGGTCCCACCAAGCAAAAGAGTGGATGATAGAGCACAGGGACGCCTCACTTACCATCTTTTTGTTATTCTACTTCAACAGGTCAAGAAAGATGAAGAAAAGGCAGAAGCAAGAGAATCAGAAGAGGCCTAAGTGAAATCTTTTTTTTTTCAAATTATTTCAAGTATAAACAACAGAACTAAAGCAGAAAAAAACAGATGCACGGACAGGTGGAAATGCTCCAAATTCTGCATACTTCAGGGCAAGTGAGAATAAGTCTGCTAAGTTTTAAAAACAGAACAAAAAAAACCAAGAACCGAAACAGAAACAGAAACAAGAAGAGCTTATTTCCATGCATGCAATGCCTGATGTTCTGATTTTCATCATTAATGCACTACAGGTATCCTGGTGTGCCTGCAATTTTGCTATGCAGGGCAGCATTTGTCATCCCCCAAGAAATGACGATTATCCTTTAACCACTAAAAATATATTGAATAATTAAGGTGTTATTCATTTTGACTCAAAATGTGAAGAAATAGGATGAAATATATACATACAACCAGATAAATGTTAAACACTGCATGCTTTAATTCTCTAAGCACATTGCTAATTCGAAAGCAAACTTTTCACTGTTCTATAGTGCAGTAATCTGCATTTCTGTAGACAAGCAAAATTTAAGTACTAGTATAATATCTATGCAATGGCTATTTGTCACTAATCTAAGACTAGGAGCCCACAATATCTCATGTCACTAAGGAAAGCCATTAGCTTCAAGTATACTAGATTACTTACTATATTTCAATGTAGAGCCAAGGAGAGCAGATACACCTCCATCTCTGCCAGAAAAAAATCCAGACTGTACCATGCAGCCTACTTTCATCCCCTTAGAGCCAATTTCCTGCTATCAGTGTTTCAGAAGCTTGTTTCTTGGTTGGGAGTTTGGGTTAGGGAAGAAAAGGAGGAACTGCAACTATAGTTTATTACAGTGCAGTTACACAAATCTTTAAACCAGTAGGATTCAAAGAGACTTTCAAAGGTGTTTGAAATGTAAGAACACTAAGCATTGTGAGAATTTCATCAATAATAGCTGGGGTCAAATTTGGGGTGTTTTTTAAAGTGTTTTATCATGTTTTGAAAAATCAAATCTTTGGCAAGATGTGACATGCCCCAATAAGTCCACTAAGCTGCCCAAGACACTACAATTATTCATAGTTTTTTATTTTTTTTAAGGGCTACCCCAATGTGCACATATAGTCCAGGCAGCCCTCAGTATGCTCTAAAGAGGCTAATGGTTTAGTTGATGGTTTTGCATGCATTAATGCTGCTTCTGCAAAATTTTGACTTTTGTAGCCACTTCACAATCACCCCTCCTTCAGTGCCCTACTTTGCCCATAAAGGTACCCGGTAAGTCCAGGTCAGAAATAAAACCATAGCTTAGCATGAATGAGCAGCGTGCCGGTATGCACTGTTCAACTGTGCCTTGCCTGCCTGTGGCAAAAACAAACTATGAAGTTTGGCTAAACCAAGAACAAACCTTGGCTTCAATTCATGTTTTTTCTGGAAAAAAACAACCACAAGTGCTGGTTTCCCTTTAATACTGAGCCCAAAACTCATGGCTTGTTTCTCTCTGAGGTACACAAGCTGAAACAGGTATGATTGATTGTTCATGACAAGCCATAGTTCATTTCTGATTGTGGATTACCATTATGTGTGAAGTGGGCCATTTTCTGAATATCACTTAAATGAAAATTATGTATTTTGCATATAAAACAGATATCAAATTATGCAGCCCCCAATTTCTTCTTTGCTGTTGTTGCAATTAGCATCTAGGTTCCAATAAGTATATTCTGGAAACGTCTGTACCATTTTGTATGTTTAGAAATCTGATCATGCTCCTTACTGTTTTGCCTATTTATATGCCAGGAAAAACTGAAACGGTGTGGAATGTTTCTATGTGACACCCCACTTTTGCTTTCAAATGAAGAAAATGAGTGCTGCATGACTCAGGAGCCCTCATTCTTAGAACCTGCTTAAGCACAATTTGCTAAGGATGAAGATCTCAGAAGGATCCAAATAACCAAGGCTTCCTTTAGATGGGGAAAGTTTCAGCCCCAAGCCCACATTCTGTTCAGGCCAATCTTTCAGGGGCAACATGCCACCTCAGCTTTGAAGTTTCAGCTGGTGCCCAATATGTAATGCCAGTGCATTTCATATTTGTGTAGGGCAGCTAAAAATGTGGGCCTAGAGCAATCCTCTCCCAAAGCACACCTTCTTTGTAATACCACTCATCAGCCAAGTGAAAATCACACAGATGTGGAGGCTGCTCCCATTAACATGCAAGCCTGGGCATCTATGAGCACTATGAAACTTATTAAAGATGGATTTTGGTGGCCAGAGCTGGGTTAAACCAGGTGAGAAGAGTTTTCTTCAGCCTTGCATAGATATGTTTTTTAGATTACAGGAACACATGAATTTGCCTTATAGATGGAACATTGGCCCACCTAGCTCTGCATTGTCTAGACTGACTGGCAGCAACTTTTCATGGTTTTAGGCAGGGGACAGTCATAGCTCTACCTGGAGATGCTGGGGACTGAACCTGGGTCCTCCTGCAGGCAAACCAGACAATCTACCACTCAACTACCATCCTTTCCCAAAGGTGAATCATCTTCCCCTTGCCTTCAAGACTGGACATGAATAACTGAATTGCCTATTGAGTAGAATGAGGTCTTAATCCAAAGCAGTAACAAAGCAGAATCTAGTCAAGTAGGATGGCCATCGTTCTTCTCTTCCTAATGCCTGCTAAGTATTTGTGCTATTTGGCTACAGAAAATTCTTGTGGGACATCTAAAGTTGGCAGTGCTAATATAATGTTTAACACTTGATAGTATTAATACTCATAGTAAAAGCCAAGGTTTCTCTAAAGTTGTGCTAGCCAATCACACTTATAGTTTGAAAGTAGGTGCAAACTTTGAACATCCTTGCCCCCCTCTGCCCGTGCTTGGTGTGTTCTCTTCTTCTAAGCTGTTTATCTGTTTGGGCATCGTGAGGAGGAGAAAACAGAACTGTTTGTTACACTATCTGAGATGTTGTAAGTTGGCCAGAAAAGAAGAATGAACATGAGCCTAGACACAGAATGGAGTAGCGGACGGGAAAACTACACATGATCCTAGACAGTGAAAGGCAAGGAAATGGAACTGCTGTCATATAACGCAAGTTATAACTACTCCACTAAAATGCAGGTGACTGACAGTGCTCCAGTTACATTGCATGAACAAGATTGGACAGAAATCTGTGTGAATTACATGGATACAAGGTGGTACTGCCTGTTTGTAATCACCCCCTTTGCTTTTAGAAAGCTCTGCCCCGCCCCCATGATTTGGTTTTACTTAAACATTCTGAGGCCTGCTTGTCTGATCTCTCCAATTCCACCATGTTTCCTTGTGGTTACGTAGTTGGTTGAGGAGGGCAATTTGGGCCATAACCTAAGTGAACAAAGCAATACACAACTATCTACTGATATCAACCCATGTTATATCTTAAGCAAATCTCACTTTAGCAGGCTCTCTGCCTGCTACCCTCCACATACTTGATTTAGTCTGATTCCCCTGCTATACCTCAACATAATAAATGGGGCAATGCCAGGGTTGCCAAACAATCATGACTCAAAGGGAAGGATATTCTTAAACTCCAACAGAATGAGTTAATGGGAATAAAGGTCTTCTGGAATGTCACAGAATAAATATTATACCCAGATTATCTGTTGCGCTGTCAGGGTCGAGAATGGGAAGCAAGAATGTCCTGAAAATTCCCTTCCTGTGAGCAGATTAAAAGGTAAAGGTAAAGGTACCCCTGCCTGTACGCGCCAATCTTGACAGACTCTAGGGTTGTGCGCCCATCTCACTCAAGAGGCCAGGGGGCCAGCGCTGTCCGGAGACACTTCCGGGTCACGTGGCCAGCATGACATTGCTGCTCTGGCGAGCCAGAGCCGCACACGGAAACGCCGTTTACCTTCCCGCTAGTAAGCGGTCCCTATTTATCTACTTGCACCCGGGGGTGCTTCTGAACTGCTAGGTTGGCAGGCGCTGGGACCGAACAACGGGAGCTCACCCCGTCGTGGGGATTCGAACCGCCGACCTTTCAATCGGCAAGCCCTAGGCGCTGAGGCTTTTACCCACAGCGCCACCCGCGTCTCCGTGAGCAGATTAGGCTGAAGGAAAAGGACTGGTCCAAGGTGATCTTTCATGGCTGAATGGGTTTCAGCATGGATTCCCCAATCTTAGTCTGACACAATAACCACTACTGTACAAAATATTGCTATCAGCTCGCTCACTTACTCACAATAGTTCAAAAATCTACAGTGGACACTCGGGTTGCGAACGTGATCCATGCGGGATGCACGTTTGCAACCCACAGCATTTACAACCCACAGCGGCACGTCTGCGCACACGTGGGTTGCGATTCAGCGCTTCTGTGCATGTGCGACCGCCGAAACCCGGAAGTAACCCGTTCCAGTACTTCCGGGTTTCGGCGGGTCCATAACCCGAAAAAACGCAACCTGAAGTGCCTGTAACCCAAGGTATGACTGTACTTAAATAGCACCATCAGTATTTTTGTCCATAAAGAAGCCACATCTCAATTTCCATTTGCACTGATTTAACAACTAGATTATCATGTAATACATTAGAAGAAGTTATCCAGAAGAGAGAGGTAGCACCCCAAAGTACCATGCAGAGGACTTAAGTTCTTTAATAGTACCTTGATTTCAATGTTTCCCACTTTGGTAGTTGAACGAATAATTGGTCTTCCAACCAAAGCTGGGAAGATGTGTTCTGGAAAATTGGATCCTGCATATCCGCATTTCACAAACTGAAAGATAAAATAAAAATCCTTCAAGTTAATTTGTTGGCGCCCACAACATTATAATAGCTTGTTGATGCTGTTCTGTTACTTTAACATAAAACTACAAGTTAAAGATAGCTGGACAAATTCCCAAATAAGCACTTATAATTTTAAGTTAAAAATGTTCTCATGAAGGAAATGCTGGATATCGTGAAAAGACAATTACCGTATTGGCCCTAATATAAGCCATACCTTTAACATTGGAGGGGGGGAAAGAAAAAATACCCAAATATAAGCCGCTCCATTCCTTGCTGCTCCTGGCTGCATACTGCGAGGGTGGGGGGAGCCGCACTGTGTTGCTGGCGGCCTTTCCCCTCCCTCGCTCTCTCCCTTCCCGACCTTGGGGGAGAGGACAGGGGACTATGCACGGGGTGGACACCATTTTGCCGCACTCCTGCCGCTGTTTGCCCCGTGCTGTTTGCATACCGCAAGGTCGCGAATGTAAGCCACACTTTAACTTTTCATGGTCGGAATTTGGGGGGAAAGTGAGGCTTATATTCAGGCCAATACAGTAAAGGAAAAATACACATAGTCCAGTTTCATCTGGTTATGTATATTAAAGTCTGTTTAGAGATTTAGATTTATCCATGGATTCTGCATTTATGCTAATAGAAAACCTCTGAATGCATGAAATGTCAATTATAAAAAGGGCAATAAATTCTTGCCTTGCTGATGGCTGGATACACTTCAAAAAAACCAATCTAAGCAGTAGGGATTTCCTTAGGTTTGCCAGTATCTATGAGACATAGAGCTGCTGGAATTCTGTTACTTGATGTGAAGTACATAAGCACAGTGCACTAAACTCAGCTTCCTGAAAATCCCAGCCATCATTTTTTTAAAAAGGTTCCGAATATTTTATATGTAAAAAGATGCTTGAAAGTTGTGTAGGCAATGCTTGATGAAATCTTTGAAACTGTTTAATAAGTCCAGTGGCCAAACATAAACCCGCTAATTATTAGCATAATCAGAATGCATGTCCTTGATTTATATAATTTATGCATTTTTTATTTCAATTATTTACACCCGCCTTTCAGAATATAAATTCTTCAAAGGTGGCTTACAGGAAACATTAAACTACATTTTAAAAATTAAGAATGTTAACAGTAATTTTCTTTTAAAAAAGCAAAAAAAAAGCAACTAGGATCCGTCCCACAGTTGGTGGTAAAATAGCACTGTTGATAGTGAGGGGATAGTCCCACTGGAGCAGACTTTGCCCGTCTATTGGAATTCTTCTCCCAGGGCAGATAATGGTGGTTCATCTTGGTTTAGGCTGACATACTTGGAAATGGTTAACCATCGTTTCCAGTTTGCACTTAACAGGAAGCTATGGTCAGCTATGGGCTTACTGGTTTGTTTCCCTGCTCATGTGAAGTGAAAGCAATGGGGGCTGCATGCTGGTGCACAGAGCTTCCCATTCAGTGGGAACTTGATTTTTATTTTCTTTTACCAGATTTATATGCTGCTTAGTCAACGCCGTTAAGCAGTTTACATAAAATATCCAGATATAATCAAACAAATTTGTTCTAAAAATAAATAAATATCAAAATATATATTTAAAAGTAGTTTTTTTAAAAAACACATAATAAAATACAATTACATATTAAAATACTTGTCAAGTTTGCGTATTTGGGGAGACTTCCCTAAACAAGAATGTTTTTAGCAGGTGTTGAAAGCAGTTTAGCAAAGTTGCCTGCCTAATTAATATCAATGGGCAGGAAGTTCATGTGGTGCTGAAGGCAACTTGACTTGACTTTCTCTCAATGCATGTTGAACGAATCTTGTGAATTATGTTTTCCAGCCATGGCTTATTATATCCTGCACAATGCTGCAGGGTGTGTTGAGTCATGATCTCAACACAAGAGTGTCAAAGGATATTTTCAAAAATGCATCGACACACCAAAGCTGTCTATTTATGGTTATTTCAAAATGGTTATGTAAATCTATAGACTTTATAGAAAAACCACAAAGATTGCTCTTCGATTGATTGTGAAAGATCTTTTCAGTGTAGGAGATCATTTGGGAACCTGTTTCTCTCCATTGTGCTGCAAAGTCTTTATTTTGCACCATAAATAGCTTTGAATTTGTGTAAAAGCAGCATATGTGTTTTAAATGCATACACCTCATTTGTCGTTGCTCTTCCTCCCCCTCTCTCTAGCTACATAAGCCAATCTTCAGTAAAAGCATTTTAGATACTAGCTTTTATACATGTGTATGCTGCAAAAAAGCATTTAAGTGATATGCTGTTTTGATATGTGGCATAAGGTGCTCTGATGTCTATAGAAAACCAGGGTAAAATTAAATATAACAAAATAAAGTAACCAGGGAAAGCTTTTAACCTATTATTTAGGTCTCTCTAATATTAAGTTGCCTTGATTTTTTAGTTTAAAGTCTAAGTATAAATAATTTTAATTTTAATTAAGTAAATGAATAAAACTGGCTATTTCAGCTTACCGCAGTGCTGAGCACATTTGCTATTTGCCTCTTCAAAAAGAAATACAGCACTAAACCAGCTAACTTCACAATTGTTAATATAGACATTAACATAACCTTTTTTTAAAAAAAAACTCTTTTAGGAAAATCTGCTGGGTTTATCTACTGTATGCTTTACCATATATAGTTTCTTCTGCACGCTATGTGGTTATGACTGGCTCTCTCACTTCCTGTTAAGTCATCAAGTGGTAATAAATTGCTGTCTATAAATATTGCTTCAAATGGAAAGCACAAATGTTTCAAAAATAGGTCTTCTCGTTAATATTAAATGGCATTATTCTCATCATAATTTCCAGATAAGGTAGACTTCATTCATTTTAGTTTCTCCTGATGGAAGAATAAGGTTTTAATGAGAATACGCAAACCTGAAGCATTCTGCCATTAACCCAGACACTAAACTGAACACTCAGTTTTGAAGTATCCCTGCTGATGTTGCTAACACTGCACATACTGGAAATATAACCATGTTCCAATTGTTGGTGAATGACTGCTTTAGAAGAAAATTCATCTTCTGAAGCTGGCGTTTTAGTTAGGTTGAAATCCCTAGCAGGGTGTTTCCTCTAAATGCAAAGAGCAGCTTCAGAGAGGGGATTTCAGCAGGACTTAACTTCTTTCTCCATGCCTGCTGAGATCCTGACAATTATCAGCTCCCCCCCCCCCCCCCGCACTTGCTATGTGAATTTTTTAAAACATACATGTTAAAATTTAAACATGCATTTAATGTCACATCTAACTTCACCCTAAGGAAAGCTTGAGCTTTTTGAAAATGTTTATTTGAAAAAATAAATTGTGAATGTGTCAAAAGTTAAAAATGCTCTGCCTCCGCAGTTGAAGGCTGTATCCTTCTGAACTCCAGCTGCTAGAAACCATAGAAGGAGAGAGTGCTCTTGCGCTCAAATTCTGCTAGTGGATTTCCCACAAGCATCTGGGTGGGCACTATGAGAACACAATGTTGGACTAGAAGGGTCACTGGCCTGATCCAGAGGCCTCTTCTTAATGAGGATTTACATAGCAGTCATATGTGTTCAATGAGACGTACTGCCAATAAATGTGCATAGGACTTACAGGCTCAGGCTGCAGATAGAAAGCATACAATTTTTCATCAACAAAAAGCACAAGCAATAACCAAAGTGAAGCTTTGCCTTACATTCCAAAAAATGAATGAGCCCTCTGTGATACAGAGAAGCCAGATAACCTGTTTCAAACACACACATAAAGAATAGTCACAGTAAGCATCAATTTTATAAGGGGTCATTACTCACTTGCAAAGCAAGTCATTACACTTCAGCATATCTTTCAAGTTGTATTTTAAACTCTTGCAACCCTCAGTGGGAGCTTAGGGTAAACGATAGGCTAATAATAATTCCACCCCAAAGCTCAGGCGACTCATCGCTCTGCAGTGAGAAATGCTGTAACAGTGGTACCTTGGTTTACGAACTTAATCCGATCCAGAAGTCCGTTCTTAAACCAAAGCGTTCTTCAACCAAGGCGTGCTTTCCCATAGCAGCGGGGGACTCAATTTACAAATGGAACACACTCAACAGGAAGCGAAACATGTTCTTATTCCAAGGCAAAGTTCACAAACCAAAACACCTACTTCCAGGTTTGCAGCGTTCTTAATCCAAGTTGTTCATAAACTAAGCTGTTCTTAACCAAGGTACCACTGTATTCCCTGCCACAGTACTATCAGCAATTAATCTATACAGGGAGGGAAATGTTTTAATGGCTTGTTAGAGAAGAGTACAAAAAATGATTCTAGCCTCAGGCTGAAAAAAAGGCGGTTAAGTCTTCTGACTTCAATATTCTACTTTTGGTATTCTCAAACTGAAAGACCTTTCGTTAGAGAACATATTTTTAGAGGAGGGAGGAGTCTAGGTACTATTATTAGTACTGCTGCTTCTAGGCCATTCAAGGGGGGGGGGACTGAAACCAGCACTGTGGTGTCTTGTTTGAATGACTATGAAACATGAGGGGTGGGACACTGAAGCAAGCAATACAGTATTTCTATTGTTTTACTTGATCTAGGGGGCCATCTGACCCCCCCACCCTTGGCTATGCCCATGTGAGCACATACTCACCTAAATATAATAAAAATTTTATTCTGTATACCCCACCCATCTGGCTAGGTTTTCCCAGCCACTCTGGGCGACTTACAGCATATGTAAAAGCATAGTAAAACATCAAACATTAAAAAATGGGGAAAGAGTCACAACAGTGACACACCTAGAGAACAGATATGGGGTGGACAGGCAGGGAGGGGAGAAGTGGCGTGCAGCTGTGACAAACTGCTTGAGGGGACAGCCAAATTCAAAGAAAGTAACTCAGGTGCCAGTAGATGGCAAAATGTTAGGAAAGTGGTAGGAGTGTGTGTCCGATTGTAATCCAACAGAACTGGAATAAAAGTGACCATGGGACTGATTCTGTCCCAGCGCAGCACAGCATAGTTCTTAGAGCAGTGTTTCCCAACCTTTTTTGGGCAAAGGCACACTTGTTTCATGAAAAAAATCTCGAGGCACACCACCATGCCAGATGGGGAAAGGTCACTTTTTACTTATGTAAAAAAAAATAAAAAAATAGTAACAGCATAGAAGGTAGAGAAGGTAGGACTCGAACCAGTGGATTCACGTTACAATAAAGATTTTGACTAAACATGGGAAAGAACTTTCTGCTGGTAAGGGCTGTTCAACAGGGGAATGGTCTCCCTCGGGAGGTTTTTCCCTTCTTGGAGGTTTTTAAGCAGAGGTGGGATGTCTGTCTGCCATGGATGCTATGGCTGAGATTCCTGCACTGCAGGGGTTGTACAGTACTGGATAGCCCTGGGGATCCCTTCCAACTCTACGATTCTATTAGGATCCCTTTTATAAAAGAGAGAACTTTAATGGCACGGCCATTATTTATTTCGGCTTCTCCCAACGGGGCCACGAAGGATCAGAAAAGCTGAAGAAGAGACCCTTCCTCAGAGGAGGCGGGAGACCACCGGACCCGCCGAGGAGGGGAATCCGGCCGCCTTTCCCTCCAGAGCTTCGCCTTTTGCCCCGGCCAAGTTGCGCCGAGGGCGCCTTGCGGGCTCTGCGTGGCTTCAGGCGGAAGCCTAGGAGCCACTTCCCAGCCTGGAGGGCAGGCTGTGCGCGGACCCCGCCACTCTCGGGGCGCGACCCAGACCCGGCTGCCTTCCACGGCCAGCAGAGGTAGGCCGCCGGCTTCTAACCCGGCGGAACTGGGGCGTCCCGGGCGCAGTGCCGCGCTCCCCGCTCCTCCCGCCCCGCCCCCTTCTCCCGGGTGCCCCCTCCCTCCTTTGTTCTCTGGAGCCCCGCCTCCCCCTCTGCCCCAGCTCGCCTATTGGCTCACGCAGCCGCCACTCAGGTGGGGGCCCGCTTTGGCCCCGCTCCCCGGCCGCCGAGAGAGAGTGGGAGCTTGCGGGGCGGGGCTGGGCGGCCGGGCGTCTCATTCCCTGCGCTGCTTCGGCCGCGTCTGCAGCCGCCGCGGGACCAGGCGGGAGGCCAGTCATGCCCAGACACTGCCAGCCGCTCGGAAGGAGCCGGCGCTCCGCCGGGCAGCGCCTGCCTGCGCGCCCCTCGCTCCCTGCGCCGAGGATGGCGGGGGCGCCGGGTGCAAGGCAGCGCCGGGGCTGCTGGGCAAGCGGCAGATGCTGATGCAGTTTGGGGAATTCCTGTCACAGGGAGCAAGGCAGAAGCGGATGACGGGGCACGTTCCCCGGGGGAGCGGGGCCGGAGGATTAGCCCGACTCGCCCGCCTCCCTCCCACGGCACACTAGGCAACGTCCGGCGGCACACTAGTGTGCCGCGGAACACCGGTTGGGAAACACTGTCTTAGAGTACTGGACTAGGACTTGGGTGATGCAGGATGAAATCCCTACCTCGCCAAGAAGCCCACCGTGGGCCAATCACTCACACACCCGCAGCCTAACCCGCCTCACAGGGTTGTTGTGAGGATAAGATGGGAGAATGTGACGACGCCACCTTTAGCTCCTTGGATAAAAGTGTGGGAAAGGGATGCAACAATTCAGAGAAAAAGCGAAAGAATTCGTTTAAAGAAAGCGTGGCAATATGAGAGGAAATGCTTAACTTAGGCACGCGCGCACCTTCGGCAAGTTAAAAGCTACTTATGCCGGGGAGGAGAAAGAGGAAGGATCATTCTAGCTTCTTCTACCAGCACCTCAAAAGGACTCAAAGGATTGCAGCTCATTGATGTTTAATAGTTTCTCAATGGTCGGTGTTTCTCTCCCCACCACCACCATATGCTTTAGAGGTGTTCTTACAGTGGTGCCTCGCAAGACGAAATTAATTCGTTCCGCGAGTTTTGTCGTCTTGCGATTTTTTTCGTCTTGCGAAGCACGGTGTCGGGAAAGTTTTGGAAAAGCTTCAAAAACCTCAAAAAGCTTTAAAAACCTCAAAAAAGGCTACCACACCGCGTTCTATGAGTTGCTCCTCGAAGTCAAGTCGCAACTGTATTAACGGTGTCAAGAAAAAGGAAACAAACTTGCAAGACGTTTCCGTCTTGCGAAGCAAGCCCATCGGGAAAATCGTCTTGCGAAGCAGCTCAAAAAACAAAAAACCCTTTCGTCTAGCGAGTTATTTGTCTTGCCAGGCATTCTTCTTGCGAGGTACCACTGTATTTTTTTTTTAATCTGTAAGCCGCCTTGAGTCCTTGTCAGGGGAAAACCGCAGAGTATATAACTACAGTGGTACCTTGGGTTAAGTACTTAATTTGTTCTGGAGATCCGTTCTTAACCTGAAACTGTTCTTAACCTGAAGCACCACTTTAGCTAATGGGACCTCCTGCTGCCACTGCGCCGCCTGATTTCTGTTCTCATCCTGAAGCAAAGTTCTTAACCTGAAGCACTATTTCTGGGTTAGCAGAGTCTGTAACCTGAAGCGAATGTAACCTGAAGCGTCTGTAACCCGAGGTACCACTGTATATAATTATTTGAAACAAAATAAAATAAAAAATTCCTTCCAGTAGCACCTTAGAGACCAACTAAGATAGTTATTGGTGTGAGCTTTCGTGTGCACGTATCTGAAGAGGTGTGCATGCACACGGAAGCTCATACCAAGAACTAACTTAGTTGGTCTCTAAGGTGCTACTGGAAGGAAATATTTTTTATTTTTTTATTTTATTTGTTTCCACTACGTCAGACCAACACGGCTACCTACCTGTGTATAATTATTTGGCAGGGTGGGCTAACGCCTTACCTCCCAGACCCCGCCCCCCCCGCCTCTCCGCCTCAGGCCCCGCTCCCCCATGTGGCGGGCCAGACACCCACTAGGGTTTCCCCTGCAGGCTGCTGAGGTGAGGTGGGGAAAGGCGGTTGACGCTAGAGCCGCCAGCCCTTCCCGCCCTCGTATCGGGGGGGGGGGAGCTCGGTCGCGGCCGCCGCTCCAGGGAGCGCGGCGGCTCCTCCTCACCCCGGTGCCGTTGTCGCAGACGACCACTTTCCGGCCCAGCGTGTCCATGGCTCCTTCTTCCGTGAGAGCGAGCGGCTGAAGTGAAGGGTAGCTTCGCCTCCTCCCCGCGACTCCAACCAGGCCTCTCTCTCTCTCTCTCTTCCCTCACAGGCAGCCCCGGAAGGGAAGGCGGGAAGGCGGAAGACGACGGCCGTGACCCCTCCGTGACTGACAGGCCGCCGGCCGGCCAATCAGAGCCTCCCGAAGACCTCGAAGCCCCCGCCCCGCGTTCGGGCGTCGCCATGGCAGCCGCTGCGGGAACCTGGGCCTTTTCGCGCCCGGCCGTGGAGAGGATGAGGCAGCTGCTGCTGGAGGGGGGCTTAGCGACCGACTGCCTCCAGGAGGCCATGGCAGGTAGAGGCGGATCATAAATGTGAAGGAGTAAAAAAACCAACGGCAAAAAACCCCTTCTTCCGCTGCAACGGGCGACGTTCCGGGCCAGCCCTCCGATGAGGCAGAGTGAGGCAGCTGCCTCAGGCTGTAGATCAGGCATCCCCAGCCTTCGGCCCTCCAGATGTTTTGGACTACAATTCCCAGCATCCTTGACCACTGGTCCTGCTAGCTAGGGATCATGGGAGTTGTAGGCCAGAACATCTGGAGGGCCGCAGGTTGGGGATGCCTGCACCAGGTCCTGGGTGCTGCCAGTCCAGGGTCACCCTGGTTGGGCTCCCTCACCAACTGTTCTAGCGCCAGTGGCGTAGCGTGGGGGGTGCAGGGGGGGCCGGCCGCACCGGGCGCAACATCTGGGGTTAGGGCAAATCCACAGGTTAGGGGGCGCAAATCCACGGGTTAGGGGGCGCAAATTACTTGCCTTGCCCCGGGTGCTGACAACCCACGCTACGCCACTGTCTAGCGCACAGTTGTTTGGGGCATTAATAGTTTTTTACTTATTGTGACATCTTTTGGATGCTTCCCCGATCCCATTCTCCACCACAAGATCTCCCTGAGAGCTTTCTCCAGGAAGTCAATCGTGTGTCCCCTTCTGGAGTCAGGTATCAGCGCCCACAATAATTCTTTGGAGGAGTCTCCCTTATCTGGGATTTCTAGCTTGCTCGAATCAGCGCCTTCTTTCACATACAAAGCAACATCCCCTGCACTATGTCCTTCTGTGCCCTTCCTATTGGGTTCATATCCAGACATAACAGTGTCACATTGGTTCTCTCCAGTGCCATTTTTCTGGAAAAAGAGTTGACAGAGCTCACCATGAACACCTCCCTCGTTCTCTTAGAATGGCAATGGTGCCCACTGGAGAGGTGCCAGAACTGAGTTCTGGTGAGTTTTGGCTGGGGGAAAGCCCTGTTTCTCTCAGTTCCACCAAGTTTCCCGTAAAGGTAAAGGTACCCCTGCCCGTACGGGCCAGTCTTGCCAGACTCTAGGGTTGTGCGCTCATCTCACTCTACAGGCCGGGAGCCAGCGCTGTCCGCAGACACATCCGGGTCACGTGGCCAGCGTGACGAAGCTACGGAAACGCCGTTTACTTTCCCGCTAGTAAGCGGTCCCTATTTATCTACTTGCACCCGGGAGTGCTTTCAAACTGCTAGGTTGGCAGGAGCAATGACCGAGCAACGGTAGCTCACCCCGTCGCGGGGATTAGAACCGCCAACTTTCTGATCAGCAAGTCCTAGGCACTGAGGTTTTACCCACAGCGCCACCCGCGTCCCAAGTTTCCGCGTAAGTTTCCCTTACGTCCACTATATATCAGTGCTGTCCTCTAAGACCTTAGGCTCTAGATGCTGGGGTTCAAGGAATGTCCAGAGCTGGTAATGCTGCAGGACCTGGGCCTGCACACCTTGCACACTAGCCTGCTGCCCTCAGGTCCAGTGGAAGGTGCTGTCCTTTGTAGTACAGTCATAACACATGTTACGTCCGCTTCATGTTACTTCCGGGTTTCGCCGCTCGCAAGCACAAAATGATGTCATGCGCAGAAGCAGGGAATCACGACCCGCGTGTGCACAGACAAGCCACTATGGGTTGCGCTCTTTTCATATTTCGAACGGGCCTCCAGAACAGATCCCATTTGCAGCCAGAGGTACCACTGTATTGGAGCAAGATGGTGAGTTGTGGTTGCCTTACACTGCCCGTCGCCTATCAATTGCTTGGATTGGTCTGGGTAACGCTAGATGGCCCTTGTGGTCCACCACTGCAGTCCTATAATTTATTGGATTTCTTAACATCTTCACGGTGAGGGTTACAACCAATATCAAAACCAGCTTTTAAAAATTTACTATCGGAATAGCAGGGTGGGCCCATATAGAGATATATAGATATACTGATATCTCACTTGTCAAAGACTATGTGTAAAGCATGGGCGGAGAGAAATTTGGATATGTACAACAAAATATTAAGGGTCCAATTCTTTCATTTGAGACTCAAGGCTTGGGACTCAAGGCTTCAATCTGAAAGGGTTTAAGACACTCCCCCCCCCCCCATGATTTAAAAAACAATGCTATAGGAGATATGCCTACCCCAGTGGTGCGGTATGGGCAGTGCTTTTTTCCAAGGATATGTAGTACCGGCAGCTCTTTTGTTGTTGTTAAAAAGTGTGGCACTTACTGCAACAATTTCACGATGGGTACCAGCACCTATTTTTCTAGGGGAAAAACCACTGGCTATGGTCCCTTTCCCCCTCAGTTTTTGCAACAAAAAACCAGCCAAATGTATATGCCAGCATACCAACAGTGAAAGTACTGTGGCTGTAGCTAACATATAACGTAGGTAAAGGTAAACAGCATTTCCATGTGCTCTGGCTTTCGTCATGATATTCCGTTGCACCAGAAGTGGTTGGTCCTGCTGGCCACATGACCCAGAAAGCTGTCTGCTGACAAACACCTGCTCCCTCGACCTGAAAGTGGAGATGAGCACCACATCCCATAGTAGAATTCGACAGGACTTAACCATCCAGGGGTCCTTTACCTTACTTATAAAGGTTACTGTTTCATGCTATATCTACTGGCATATAAAAGCCTTTAAAGCCCTTCACGGCCTAGGACCCTCGTACCTACGGGACCGCCTCTCCTGGTATGCCCCACGGAGAGCCTCAAGGTCCATAAATAGCAACACCCTAGTGGTCCCAGGCCCTAAGGAAGTTAGATTGGCTTCAACCAGAGCCAGGGCCTTTTCAACTCTGGCTCCGGCCTGGTGGAACACTCTGCCTCATGAGACCAGGGCCCTGCAGGATCGGATTTCTTTCCGCAGGGCCTGTAAGACAGAGTTGTTCCACCTGGCCTTTGGCTTGGAGCCAATTTAATTCCCTCCCTCCCTCTCTTTCTTTTTTCTTTTCCTTCTCCTCCTGCAATGAGGCTACATATTAATATTTTAATGTTCCATTATTTTAATGTTGTATTTCATTTTTGTTTTTAAGTTGTAATCATTCTTCTTGTTTTTATTATTGCTTGTAAGCCGCTCTGAGCCCGGCCTTGGCTGGGGAGGCGGGGTATAAATAAAAAATTATTATTATTATTACTATTATTATTATTATTATTATATGAATGACATAAGATGTCAATATTGTCCACCTAGCTGATCAAAATAAAGATGGCAGATATGTAAAGGTGATGCACCACAAATATGACTGCCACATTGAAAGGATTTGTGACAATTTCTTCTTTTTGTATGAATGGTACACACCCAGAAAAAAGCACTGTATGTAACTGAGATGAATTCAGGACTAACTGTCCTTTAACCAATAGTTATGTATTATCATTAATATCGGTCCATCATGGAAAATACTGTTTTCCAACCAGGTCAAAAATAAAAATACAAACACCTAGCTTATTAAAGCACATGCTGTCAATCATACATTAATGGTTAACTGTCGCACACTGGATACCTTTGAATGCTAATTTTCAAATGCTAATATAACATTTTCCTTTTAAAGAATTCTGGATGCTGTGGTTTTCCACTCACAAAGTTACAATTCCCAGCAACCCTTAACAACAGTACTGTACCCAGAATTCTTTGAGGAAGAAAATGTGCTTTGAATGTGCTCAAGGATATAGCTATAGAATTATAAGGTTTTAAAACACTTTTTTCCCTTAAAAAATGTTTTCAGATATTGAGAACGATGAGAAAACAGGACGTTTTGTAATAGGACGTGGAGGCTACCCAAATAAACAGGGCATAATCCAATGTGATGCAGCAGTAATGGAAGGACAACCTGGGCGTTTTGGAGCTGTGGCAGCCTTGCATGGGTATGTATTATACCTTGCTATGCGTCAGAGGTCACCAGCCCGGCACCAAAAACTCTAAGATTATTATTTTTTAATTATGCTTTTTCACAGAATTTTTTTAATTCCTTACAGCCTAATGGTTTAGCTCTTCATAATTTTTATCATTGCATTTAACCATAGAACTCAGTTCTTTAAAAGTATATATGGAACAAACCCCTTCTGAAATTATATTCTTTCTGCTGATAAAGAATTGGAACTCCTCTCACGTAAGGTCATGGAAGAAACTCCACACAGTTTTCTGGCTGGGGATGGTGCTGTGGCTTTTGCAAAAGACCAAGGCTTCACTGTGGAAGATAACCGAAGTATGATGAGTGAGCAAAGTACAGAAGCTTATCAGGTAACACTCTACTTTGGAGCAATAGTGATGTGAGTTTATTTATGCAGTAGTAGAATAATTCACATTAGGAATAAATATCCTTGCAGATGTTCTGAGCACCCCTGACTCTCATGAATCATCAAGAAGTCTCTTTGAAGTCATTTCAAACAACAAAGGGGGCACCTAATGTGACATTTTCAAAATGTCATGCATCAGATAGTCAGAAATAGAATTCAGATTAACTGACTACTAATATTCTGTTGGCCAAAGTGCTTCCCAACTGCATGGACAATGGCATATGTTCACGCTGACTGCTGAGGAAGGATCAGCTATGGGTGGCTTGGAAAGGAGAGAAAAATAGATTGAAATTCTGCTTATTTCTCCTTTCTAAAGTTAACGTTTCCTCATCTCACCTGGCATGAAACTAGCTGGGAAGTTATGCTGCTTCTTAATGCATTGGAAAACCCCTGCCAGTGGCCATGGGCTGTGAGTTGCCAGCCCTTAGAATAGTCCCAAGATTGAGGGTGGAATTCAACTGAAGAATCCCATCGGTGTTTTCCCCCCTGTGTGCCCCCACCCCAAAAAT